AAGAGTTTTGGGAGGGGAGAGAGAGAGAGAGAGAGAGAGAGAGAGAGAGAGAGAGAGAGAGAGAGAGAGAGGAGAGAGAACATAAATTTTGGTTGGGGAAGATCTGGGAGGGAGGAGTTTGGGGAGAGGAAACATGATCAAAACATACTTATGAAAAATTCTAATTGAAAAAAATTACTGGAATAGCTGTGCAACAGATGCCTCACCAAAACATTGTGTCATTGGTACCACCGGTAGCACCACAGGGCAGAGACAATGGCAAGAAATTGCAGGGTGATGTCTTACTAAAGAGGGTAGTGAAAACACAAAGAAGGAAAAAAAAATATGGAGACAGCTTGTCCTGGGTCAATGGGATCTGAATCCAATGTCTGGTGTGCTTTTCAGAGGAAGGGGACAGAAAAGTGATACAGAGAGGGAAAGACCTGTGGAGAGAGGTGGTGATTGTTTAATGGCAGCTTTTGAAGTCCTCAACAATGCAGGGGTGGGCCTCGATGCCACTGGTAAAGCTAGTGAAAGGCTACACAGGGCTGGGCCTCAGAACCAACATAGGTTTGAATGTCTGTTGCCTTCAGGGTAGTAATCTGAGAAGGACCTATGGTTCCCAGAGACCAAGTTAGGAAGCCTTAAGTGGGCGGAGCCTCATTTAGGCTCGCAGCTGGGCTGTGGCAGGCCGCTGCTGCCTCCAGAAGGGGAGGGCCTTCATAGAGGGGTTTCACACAGACGCAGTCTTGCTTGGCTCCAAGAGTCCATTTAGGTAGGACTCCAAACCAGATAAAGCTATTTGTGTTAGGAGAGGCCAGGAAAGTGGCCACTTGGGGGGGAGGGGGTTGATACTGGAATTGGGTGCCATGGGAACTTTGGGGCTGCTGGCATTGTTCCTGTGCCTGATCCGGCAGCTGTTCTCAAAGTCAGTTCACAGTGGAATAGTACAGTGGTGATATGACTATGTCCTGTGCGTGTTCTTTCTGGCCCCTGAAATGTTACACCAAGACAATTACAAGGTGTAGTTCAGTGCAATCCTTTCTTAAGGTCCTGTTGAGAACCAATTTGGGATAAGTAGGGAAATCCCATCCTAGGCTGGATGAACCTTCCCCTCCTGACCCTCCCTTCCTTTCTCTGTTTCTGACTCACAGGTGCACCCTTAGAGTCCTGTGGAGGGGATGAAGAGGGATGTTCCTGAAGGGAATAAATACAGCAAGCAAAGGAAGGTAGCCCCTGCCTTCTATTACAGTAGATTCTTCTAGTTAGTGTGTTACAATTTTAATTCACTTATTTAAATAAGAACATTTTAGTCTTTGGTTGACATATATAGTTGAACATACTTTTGAATTACAATGTGAGTTTTTTGTTTTTGTTCATGTGTTTGAGACGGGGTATTACTGTGTGACCCTGACTGGCCTGGAGCTCACTATGTAGACCAAACTCTCCTCAAATTCAGAGAGACCTGCTGGCTTTTGCCTTCCAAGTGTGGTGATTAAAGGCATGAGCCACCCCACCCAGCTTTCCCATGTGATGTTCTGATCTGCATATATAGTTAGATCCCAGTGCCCGAGTTTCCCGTTATGCCCTGTTGGGTGTTATAAGCAGGTATCCAGGGCTACAGGCAAGCAGGGGGAAGAGAGCCAGGAGGC